ACAAACAGCAAGCAAAACTTAACTAACCTTTATGATCTTTCATTGCTTCTTCCTTCTGCTCAATTGGTGGAAGCCTATTAGCCATGAAATCAGCTGCAACTTTGTCAACAGAGCTATGAGTGTCGATGTGACTGATTAGACATGCAAAGAGACGTTTTACTTGATTGTTGAAATCCTCCTGTTTGCTTTTGTCAATTCCATCATTTTGCTGTAAAAATAATTTGTCTTATGTTTATATGAAGTGAATCGATTGTTACAAATCGGCACGCGGGTATACATGCTCTAAAACTATTCACACTGCTACAACATCATTTGTATCAAACCACAGTTAGTACTGTGATCTAACGCAGCTGCAGAAGTATATAACCAGAAGTGTCTATCTCTAAAAAAATCCCGATAATGTCAGGTATGCGAATAGTCTATTTTCAGACAACCAATCTTAACACGCGCGCATATGACACGGCACCTAATTAGTTAAAAATCTTTGTTGGTCCTACTTCTAGTAGAAAAAAAAAACAACAAATAAAATAAAAAAACGAAAAACAAGTTTATGGAGACAAAGTTTTAACTCATTACGAGAATTTTATACCTTTTGCGGAACAACCTGTTCTAAATTTGATAGAAAACTTATATGCCATSTAGCAAGAGCAATATGGGTTGAGAAAACGGGAAACGTTCAGAAAATAAGAAAGATGTGGACAAAACTATGAAACCTCGCGAGGTGGAGTTATAGAGCAAGACTCAGGGCCTTAAAAAGGAAATATGGAAATTACCATCGGGATCCTGACATCTCGTCGAAGACAAGCGGCGCTATTCGAAAAACTAGCGATTTTTCTGAGCCAGTACGAAGAATAACAAAAACATCAGTCCTAGAACAATTTCTATTAACGCTTTTKTCTGTATTTCTCTAAATTCGTCCAARTAAACCCATTTTAGTGCGTTCAAACAAACATCTTYAAAGCATATCTCAAAAAGTACTTCCACCACTGAAAAGAGGTACGCCCCAGAAAAAAATCGCCAATTCGACCTACTTAAACCTCAATCTCGGGTAGAAAAATCGCACCAAGCTCTTGGAATTCAGGGAAATTAACCACAGAAATTCACTTCATCGTAGTTCGGCGGTCTACAGCCTTGTTAATAGTGACCATTTACGGATAAAAAGACATTGACGTTTATTTYTAAACTAAATAAACTAGAATATAAACCACCAAAATAACCCAAATATCGATCTTGCGAATCTTTCGGTCGATAATCGCCATAGAAGGGCCTGGAGCCGATCTCCCTTCTTCGTCTGGTAAGACTGTGGTAGTTCGTCTACAGTGTTTTCACTGTATGTAATAAATTGATGATATGCCCCTCGATCGCTGATTGGTTTAACAGCGAAGTCCGTTCGCCCAGCCGTTAGGGGAGAGAGTTACACCCTTTTAATAAGTCCCGAGGTATTGAGTTCCCCGCACTTGATGTCAAATTTATTCTTTTGAAATTTTTACAGTACTAAAGCAATTCAAAATAATAAATTTGACATCAATTGCGGAGAACACAATACCTCGGGACTTATTAAAAGGGTGTATAGTGGGCGCGTATTGACGCTACTGTACGCTATTGTACTGTGATGGTACAAATCAAAGGTGTACAAATGAAAAGCGACAACTGCGAAACGTGATTCCTTCCGGCTTCCGTGCAACAAAAATAATGGACTGAAATGTTATCATACCATGCCTAGTCCCATATAACTGAAGCAGTTCACAGGAAGACCTCGTCGAAATTCAACATCTACTTCCATTGCCTTGTCAATTGCATCACTCATAACACTAGATAACAAGTTACCCCATGTGCTGTAGATAGAAAAACAACAATTAGAAATGCCACAATTGCCCGTGGTTTCAAMTTCATGAATATTTATGGCGGTAAAAAGCCTCTCGAAGGWGTTGGTTTTTCGGACTATACCTCTTCACTGGTATCGCAAACTGAGTGTCTGACGGATAAGAGATTTYTTATGAAATAACTTCACCACAAAAGCCATGGAAGAGTTGAACAATACAAATAAAACTCGTTTTAGAGAAATCGAGTTTATTTATCAAGAAATATTACAAGACGGCAGACGGCACTAACACTTATCACTTGTTGGTTTTTGATTATTTTAAATGATTCTCACAAGGCATACACTACTAAAGATCCTAAGAGCTTGAAAGAAATTCATGAAAACGTTTTCGAGAAAATCGAGTTCTCTTTTTTCCGTGTCACGGCCGAATGCCAGCGGCCCAGTCTTAAAATGTAGT